TAAGCGATCAGCATGATCCCTGAGCAAAGCTTTCTTTTTATTACTCTGGTTGTCCCACATGGTTCAACCATTTCTTTCTATCAATTATATTGCACAATATATCCTCAGAGCTCATAGGGTCATTACAATTTGAAAAACTATCATTTAAAAATCTGTTAAAATAAAAAGGACGAAAGTTTACAAGGTTTTAATTCATTAAGATCTAAGTTAAAACAATTTATTAAATACAAACAAACATTTATAAACGCATGATCACCAGTCATAACTAATTTGGTCGTTTCCGCTTCTAATAGTAGTTCCTCACCAGCAGATAGTCACACGAAATTTCAATAATTCTTTAAGATAGTTCAACGCTATATCTTCAGTGCTATATCTTAAGGGTTAACATGAGTGTATATTTTGTAATATATTCTGCTTGTTATGGGTGGCCAATAAAGTCTCTTCAATGCTTTTGTTTATGTGACAATCTCTGCTTTCACCTCTTAACATTCTGTGTCACTTGTTAAATGTCAGCAAAATTCCAGAAGGGGATGGGATTTTTATATTTTGGACAAACTCCAACTAACAGCAGACATAAGAATTAATTATGCCAGAAAACCTACCTTCCTGGTGCAAATTATTTAGCAAAAACATTTTTGGAATGATCATTTTGTTGTAAAGTGTCTAATGCAGACCTGGCTGTTTTAAGCGGGTGATCACCCCACACACGTCTCCATGCACGTCTCCACACATGTCTCCCCGCTCGCCTCAGGCTAGCGAGACGAGCTATTCACCACTCACCTTAATGTCAGTTTGCACGTTAACTGCCCACCTTGGTCTTCCTCTCATATGCGACACCTCTTGAAGTAAAACTAATAAATTGATAGGAACTTGATCCTCTGTGTTTTGACTTTGAAATAACATTAATTACCTTTCAATCTCTCAGGAAGTCATCTACTCCTGTAAACTGGTTAACTACTTAACAAGTAACGCGAAAAACGAAGCATTTTTAAATGCAATAGGGAAGAGAATCCTTTGAATGGTTTCATTTTCACCGGAACGCTATTTCAAAGGCCAATTGAAATGTCATTTGACAGGGTTGCCTTAAAGGTATTCATAATATTCCTAACACATGAAACCCAAATCGTTTCAAGATGATGAGTTACCAAAAAGGATCAACTGTTGAGCCAAGAGCTTTCGAAAAATAGGACAAAGACGCTGTTCTTGGAAGAAAAATTGAGGAGATAGATAGAAAGAAGATGGTGATGTTTGTTTGGTGCAAACTTGGTGCTAAATAACTTTAAGTAATTTATGAATAGCTGTGGTTTCTTATAACTGGCTATATAATGTTAATTAAAGTGTACAGGAGATCCCCCACTGATAATTTTTAAAGGACCAGTACAAAACTGTCATCTCTCAAAATCTTTTAATCTTAAAACTTCCAGTAGTAGCTGAATTTATTAGTTTCATTTGATAAAATACGTGTATCTTCCTGTGACAACAAACTCGGAAATAACCAGCCTTTAAATACTTGAACATCAAAATGACAGTTTTCTGATGAATTCTAGTTTGTACTAATGTTATAACAAAATCACACTGTGATTATTTACTTTTGGTTCTATTCAAATCTTGTTAGTGTTGTTGATTTGCGACAATACGAAACTATCATTTTATTTCTGTCAGAGAATAGCCATCTTGTTTTGTAAACTTAGCTGTTAGAGACTGTTGTTTATTCATATACCTTCATTGATGATTTTCAAGAGACTAAAAATCGCCCACCTGACTTTGCAGAGGATAGCGATGTACTGCTCCCCTGCTAAAGTGTTCACGGCCAGGCCTGCTAATGCCATCAAATTTCACCAAGAGAAAAAAATATCTTTGCCATTGATTGAATGAATCTTCATTTCCTTGCCTTAGACCAATTGCTTCACACATTTCATGTCAATTCTCGGTACAAATGTAAAAATATGGTAATTGTCCTTTCCATTTTCGGTAAATACACTCATGAAATACAATTTATTGAACATATTGAAGCACTGGAGCAACATCTACCATTATTCCAATGTGCCAAAACGCACAATGTCCCGTGTATTTGGTATGTTTCTAAAACCATGACACAGCCCCTTTAAGGGCCCTCTAGTAATGGAAGTTCTTTTCATCTCTAGTTTCCTTTGTTATCTTTCCAGTGGTATCATGAAGTAGAAATCTATTGTAGGGCTTTTGTTGATGTGGAGTGCCATCCCAGCTTGTGTAGCAACAATCTGGAATTGCTGATTTCACATTTAAAATTTCATTTTTATTCAACAATGATGTTTTTCCTTAGTTTAAAAATCATGCACAAAATTTGAGCAGGGAATTTTGTTCAATTACATGTTGCAGCAGTTGACATAATCAGTTTTTCAATCAGTTGACATAATCATCATTTTCTTAACCTTTTTTCACATGATTTTATTTTCTTCTTTTTGAAGAATAACTCAACCTGCAATTCTTTTTAACCCTAGATCTGCATGCAAGAAATATTCAAACAATAACTGTCTTGGCACACGAGAACTTCTTGCAGAGGAAGAAGAAATGCAGCCAAATGGAAGGGTTTTCAAGAAAGTTATTCTTGGAAAGTACATTTGGCAGACATATG